GGGGCCAGCACCGCGGGGGAGGGCGTGCGGCGGCCCTCGCTGACCGTCGGAATCCCGGTTTCCGAAACGCCTGGGGAGGCGTCGTTGAATGGGCAGTGTGGGGTCCTGGGGTGCGTGGGCACGCCTGTCCCCCACGCCCAGTGGGGGCCTCGTGGGGCCTTTCGCCCGGCCGGGACTGCGGGTGTCACAGGGCAGAGACGCCCGGAGACGCCTGGAGTCTCCCGGAGACGCCCGGGCCCCAGAGCGGCTCAGCAGGGGCCCGCCCCGCCGAGCGGCAGCCCCCAGCCAGCTGGCGAGGGACCCCCAGGGCCCACCGGGAGCTTCACCCAGGGACATACGGGGGGCAGGGTCTGTGCAAGGAAACCTCCCCGCAGCGGGACAGGGCTTCTCCCGCTGGGGGTCCACTCCCACGTCCAACCCCAGAGCTCACTGTGAAGTCTAAGGGGTCTCTGGGTGAGGTGTGCACAGGGGGGACATGTGGAGCCGGCTGGAGGGGCTCACCCCCACCCCGAGTCTGTGGGGGGCCCCCTGGACTCCTCACTGAGGCCGCATCCGTCTGCACATGCCCCAGGCGCCGGGGCCCCCGGGACTGTGATGTGAACCCTCAGCCTTTGCCTCTTGATGCTTCTCTGACACCTTTGCCCTGTGTCCACTTTGGTTTATTCCTTTTTTTTTTTTTTAGATTTATTTATTTTTGCATACGGAACTGGGGTGCAGGCCAGAGGCGCAGGGGCGGCGAGAGGCTTCGCCCGAGACAGAGTGGGGAGCAGAGCAGGCAGATGGACGAAGCCCACGGCTGAGGGGAGCAGCGGGCGGGTCAGGAGGGGTCCGCCGCGCCCTGTGGTCACCTCAGGGGCCGGTGGGGATCGAACTCGCGCTGCGGGGGGCTTTGGCTTCTGGGGGGCTGTTCCTGTGGGTGACCCGCCTTACCCGTCCATCAACCGCCTGGACGACGCCACGAGCCAGGGAGACCACGAGAGAGGCGGCCGAGGGTGGCCGCTGCGGGAGTGGACCCTGGGCGAAGGCGGCACTCGGCCCATCGGAGGGACGGGCCGGCGGGAAGGACGCGCCCCAGGGCCCGGGGCCCCAAGGACATCGGGCGCAGCAGACGGACCGCGGCAGGGGTGACGGCCGCCCGGACGGGCTGCGGCGGTCAGGGGCAGATGACCGGCCGGCCGGCTGCTGCGGGGGGCCAGGGGCGCCCTGGGAGGCTCTGAGACGCCCCGGTCGCAGGTGCGCTGTTTATGGCGGAGAGGAGAAAGAAGACGGGTCTCAAGTCACCCCGAAAACGGTTTTCTGGTGGGGAGGTCGGGCCTGTTCCCCGGCTGACCTGGACGGAGCAGAGGCCAGGAGACAGCAGATCTGGGCGACGGGCGGGGCGGGAGGAGGGAGAAGTCACAGGGCGTGAGGACGCCCGCGGGCCAGCGGATCCGAGCTCAGCCAGGCCCCCGCAGGCCGCTGCCGGCTCTGCCCCCGCCCCGCCGCCCCCAGCGATCCGGCCACGCGGGCAAAGCTTACAGGTGCGGGTTTGCAGCTGGGCTGTCTGGCCACAGGAAGCGGGGTGCAGAATGGAGAGGGTCCGGGGACCCCCAGGGGCCTCGGCCCCACAGATAAGCCGGTGACCGCCCCCATGACCATCCCCTGCCCTCAGCGACGCCGGCGCCCAACTGCTTCCTGCCCGTAAATGCTGTGGGGCTCACCCATCAGGGAGGCGCTCACCCCCAGCAAGCGCTCCCGCTCGCCCCAGAATTCGCCATCCAGTTGAGCCAGCCCCGCACCCCGCACCCCAGCGAACCACGGCCTGGTGGCCAGCGTGGACCACGGCCTGGTGGCCAGCGTGGACCACGGCCTGGTGGCCAGCGTGGACCACGGCCTGGAGCCCAGCGTGGACCACGGGCAGTTGAGCCTGAATCTAGCCCCGTCGGGGGCTGGCGACGGTCTTCAAGGCACGAGGGCTGAATCAGGGGCGTCCGGGCGCGAGGGGCGGGTGTCTGCCTCCGGCCGCCCCTCGGCAGCGCTGGGCAGCCCCGAGCCCGGGCCCCGCCCCGGCTTCCTGGCATCACGGGTGAGCCGTGCGCTCAGGGGCAGGGGGGCCAGGAAGGGTGCGTGACCAGGGGACGGGCCTGCCCCTCAACGGACGCCGCTCCCTTGCCCGCGGGAGCTGGACTGTGACGTGGGTGTTCCGGGCGCCAGGCTGCATCTACTCTCCATCGGGAAATTCTAAATCTCGGGGGGGGGGAGCAGACGACGGGGAGCTGTGCCCGTCCGTTTGTCCAGCTCCACCGCCCTGGGGCGGAGGGGCCGACCGCCGGCGTCCAGGGCCCAGGCCAGTGCAGACGGCAGCTGCCCAGGGCGCCCCGGAGCCGGAGCTGACGCCCTCGCACGGAGCAGCAGGGGTGGAGGGGCCAGGTCGCCGCCGGCCAGGCAGGAGTGACCGCTCCGGGGCGCCCGCCCCGCCGTCTGCCTGCCCCGGGTAAGGCTGCGCCTCGTCCCCGTCTGAGGACTCGGTTTTCTGATCTGTACAAGAGGAGCGAAACCGCCCGGGAGGAAACACCTGACCCGGGCGATGGCCACGTCTTGCTATTTCAGGGCAAAATGCTATTTAAGTGCCGTGGTGGCCAGTGGAGGCCGGTGGATCTCAGAAGGGGACAATCAATACTCTGAAATAGGTTTTTTTCCATCAGAGTCCAGCAGCACAAGACACGCTGTGCATGGCCGGCGGCCACCCTGCCTCCCACCCGAGTCCGGCGAGCACCGGGACAGGGATCCCTAAACAGAGGTGACCCCGCGCTCCGAGGCCAGGCGCTCGCGTGACCGGAGCGCTGGGAGACTCCGCCCGACTCCCCCGAGACGGGCTCTGTGGGTTGGGGTGCTGCCGGCTTGGGGGGCTCCCTGAGGTCAAGCTGCCGGCCCGGCTCTGAGAGGAAACTGCTAAAAATATTCCCGGCGTGGACACTCGGTGCGTGGCCTGCGTGGCTTCGAGGACAAGCCGGCCCTGGGCCCGGCCCTCTCGGCTCTGGGGCTCCTCCTCAGCCCTGGACCCTCGGGCCCTCCCGCCGGCCTGGGGGGTCATGGAAGAGCCCTTCCCGCCTCTCCACCGCAGAGCACAGCGGCTCCCCGCCCAAGGACACGGGTTTCTCACCCCGAAACGGAACTGCCTCTGGCGTGGGTGTCGAAGGCCATGCTGCTGGCGAGGACACGCTTGCAGGACTGTCCCGTGTCCCCACGAGGCCACCACAGCCCGAGCAGAGGCCCCAATAACAGCCCACAGACAGAAGCGTCGCGGAGACGGGTGGCCCCCTGCTCCCCAGAAATGGCTGCGTCCTTGCTGGGCAAGCCCTTTCGTGGGGGGGTTTCTGGGCGAGGGGAGAGCCCAGAAACTCCAGGTCCCTCCGCTCCCGGACAGGCGCTGGGCAGGGCAGCCAGCCTGGAGTGACAGCCTGAGCGACAGCTGCGGTGACATCCCAGGGTGAGGTCCCTTCAACCACTTTTTAATGAGCCAGACGCCCGAGGAGCGCGACCTCGCGCCCTTCCCCACCCGCAGTGAGAAGCCAGTGTCCAGGGCCAGCTCCCGGCGGACGGCCCCTGGACCGTGCACACGTCACCCAGTCCTCTGTCCCCCCAGGGGGGCTCTGGAGTCCCCGGGAGCCCCCAGCACCCCGTCTTTGCAGTGGGGAGACCAGCTGCCCACCCTGCCCCCTGGGCCCCGGCCCGAGGTTCCCCCAGGCTTGGACATGTCCCCGGGGGCCTCCGCCCCCAGACTCCAGGCAGCACCTGCCGGTGGGCAGGACGCTGCTTGTTCAGGGAGGGCGGGGAGCGGGGGTGCAGCGCTGTTTTTCCGGGCGCGCGGCTGGGCTCCGGGGCTCGCCTGACACCTGGCACCGCCGGCTGGCTGCGGGCTTGTCAGAGAGGGGCCGGCAGGCTCGTACCTGTAGCCACCTGGCCCGCTGGGCACTTCCTGCCTCAGTCCGCAAACTCTCCCCTCCTGGGCCTGGGCCCAGCCCGAGCCTGGCCAGGCCGGCGCCGCTGGTGGGCGCCGGGGGAGGACAGGCAGCCTGCAG